TCTCTGATCATTTCCATCAGGCACTGCCAATAGAACTGTGGCCTCCATAAAACATAAAATCTCACTTCTCTGATCATTTCCATCAGGCACTGCCAATAGAACTGTGGCCTCCATAAAACATAAAAACTCACGTCTCTGATCATTTCCATCAGGCACTGCCAATAGAACTGTGGCCTCCATAAAACATAAAATCTCACTTCTCTGATCATTTCCATCAGGCACTGCTAATAGAACTGTGGCTTCCATAAAACATAAAATCTCACTTCTCTGATCATTTCCATCAGGCACTGCCAATAGAACCGTGGCGTCCACCAACATGAATGCCACCAGTAGTCGCGCCCACACCGTGGTCACCATCACCTTTGACCAGATCATCAAGGACCCCACTGGACAGGAGAAGAAGAAAAGCAGTGAGATGAACTTGGTGGATTTGGCAGGTAAGACGTAGGCTTTTTCACTGATGAGACTTTTCTGACTTTTGTCGAAATTCCAACTTTTTCAGGGTCATTTGGGTCATTCTTGTGAATCGTGGACCCTGGACCCTGGCCAGTTTTCCTACTGTTTTCACTGAGGACAGGTCTCATCTCTGCTTTTTATGAATCATGATTATCATGCTAAAGCCTGCCCTGAACTGTTTAAGTTTGGTGTGTGAATGGTATTTCCTGACCTTGTAGTTTTACACAAACTGCCATTTTCTTTTGTATTTTATTGAGCACTTTGCTAATGTGTTACATAGTACTTAAATTTCTTAAGATTGTAAATAAAACTTGGATTTAGATTTAATTAATTTGGTTAAGAATCACTTTCTTGTTTGCAGGTATTTACATGTATCTGTCTGTAGTTCATTTTAGTTCATTTATGTTTGCTGTTTTTAAGTCAAGTTTTAAACATTTTTTACCTTTCAACAAACTTTCACTTTACTCAGGTTCTGAGAGGGCCGAAAGCACAGGAGCAACAGGAGACAGACTGAAAGAGGGCGCCAACATCAACAAATCACTGTCTGCTCTTGGGAACGTCATTTCTGTAAGTTATTATCATGCTGTTACGTACAAAATGTGCAGCATGCATGCTGTCATGTGATTAATATAAACCTAGTTCATGGAATTGCTGCATGATTGTTTATTTTTTAAAAAATCAGGTTTAGATTTATGACTATTTCTCAAAAAGTGTATTTGTGCTGTATGCATTGAGTTTTGAAATTTTGTAATAACATTTTTCAGAAATTGCCAAAAGTGAGAGTTTAGGATCATTTCTTATTATTTTTCATCTGTGTAGCATCATTTTTTACCGGTATAACATTTTCAATCCTATTCCTACAAATTGACTTCAATATGTCGGAGATTAGTGCAAATGCTGATTTGCTTATTTTTTTCTGGGGATATGAAAAGATGAAAGACTTAAATTTCATAAATTCTGAAGTGAAAGAGATACAACAGAAAGGAACTCCAGTAATTAAATGTGTGATTACTCTTGTTTGATTTAAATTTTCCTAAGAACTTAATCTTGATACTTGTTTGACCTTAAATAATCTCACTTTTGATTGAAAATTTGCTGAATAATTTTTCCTGGATGTTTATGACCGTTTATTTTTTCACCAGGCTCTGGCTGATTTGTCCATGGGGAAGAAGAAGGTGATGGTGCCTTACAGAGACTCTGTCCTCACCAAACTACTGCAGAATGCACTCGGAGGAAACAGGTGAGACGAATGAAGACATGATATTGTTTTCAAACATGCACCAAGTCTACACCCTGCCCATCTACATTAAGTAATCTTGTTAAGCAATAGGTCTGAATCAAAACTTAACAGTCTGAAGATGAAATGTGAAGATGTAGGAAAATAAATGTACACAACCGCTAAAATTACAATTATTCTAGTTGGAGTCTGATTGGACTGAGTCTTGTTAATTTGACAAATTCCAAATATTGACAGTAATTTCATCTTTTCAGTAAAACCATCATGATAGCTGCCCTGTCCCCAGCTGATATAAACTATGATGAGACGTTAAGTACGCTGAGGTACGCTGACAGAGCGAAAAAGATCAAAAACAAGGCTGTCATCAATGAAAACCCCATGGACAAGTTGATCAGAGAGTTAAAGGTAACTAGAAACTATAAAAATATACTGAGGTTGTTTTTCTCTCATGATTGAGCTAATAAATAATGGATGGTGATAATTTTCTTTGATGAATTTATCATGTTAATTTTAAAGAACAGGAGTTGAAAGTTATTTTGATCACTTTTTGAAGCTTATTATATGCAATTTTAAAAGCATATGGAGATGTATGATCACACTTTTTTAAATAAAGGTAACTCATTTCCAGAAAATCTTAATAGTATTTGTTTGCAAAATTTTAGGAAGAGAATGAGCGTCTGAAGAAACAGATGGAAGGTGGCGGTGGTCCCATAGCAGGTGGTGTTGGCATGACTGCGGAAGGTAAAATAATTTGGCTGCATTTGATTGGCTTAAAAACAACCAATCAAGTCATGGAATCAACAAGTTGAAATTTTGATAATGATTATATTGCTAAGCAATACACCAGCAAGTGAGTTGGTGAATATGATGAAATGTTGTTGATAAAAAATTGAATGCACAATTGATAAACTATTCTGCTTTAAAAACCAATTATTGATAATAACCTGAAAAAATGATTGACATTGTGAAATGATTTTGGAATAAAGGTTGTCCCAGACTGAAGCAAATAATAATAATTTTTTTTTTGAAGTTTTATTGGTATTTTTTCTTTCATTACAGAAATTGAGAAATACAAAGAAGAAATCAGACTGGAGATGGAAGAAAATATGAAAAAGATGGGAGGCATGAGTTGGGATGAACAGGTAACTTAAATTCATCTCTGAGGAAGATTTTCCCTAGCTGCAGAGAGCCGTCATTTGGATAGCCATTAGCCTCAGAAGACGGCCTTTATATCCAAAGATGACTGGACTACTTACAAAATTTTGGGGGTTGGCTGGTTGGGCTCCCTGTAACTCTCTGACCAAATTACAGATTCACATTTTGGACTTCCTGTGCCCTAAATGCTGAGGAAACCCCTGCTTCTGAGTCCAATTTTTTTGTAAAAAAAGTTTCTTCTTTAACTGATGCTAGTAACATTGTTTGATATGCAACAATTATTGGCAGTAATAGTACACTTTGATTTAAAACCTGGTTCACTGGCTGTTTTGAAACATGCTTACAGTAAAAATATGAAAATTTCATCACTTAATAATTAATTGTTATCATTTTAATTTGCATGAATCCATATTACTAGGTGACAAAGTTTCCAAACTAATCAAGAGGCACCTTTTCAAGTTTGATGAAGTTCTCAAAGTGAAAGAAAATTATGCTGGTAGAATAAACTTTCAAGATAGAGAAAATTTTTAATTGTTTTCCGTATTAAGATAGTACTTTAACTTAAAGTTAAACGAAGTACTGTAATTTCAACCTCCAGGTGAAACAGAGCAGACAGGAGGCCGAGACAGATTCGGGAGGAAAGGCAACCTCCAACAAAAAGAGTACAGTTTCCCACTTTGTCAATCTGAATGAAGACCCCATGCTCTCTAGCAAAGTCTACTACTTTCTTGAGAAACCAGAGGTCACAATTGGACGCAAAGATGCCGAGCCCATGCCAGATATCTGTCTCAGTGGATTGAGGTGAGGGAAGTCATAAATGTTTTGTCTGTGAAAAAATATTTGTATTAGTTACAGACAGTTTTTCCGTCCACAGGGATTAAAGTAATTGTAGAGAAGGTAAAAAAAAAATCACTGTAAACACTTTCAAAACCATTTCCATACTACGCTTGCATGAATAAACATTTGTGTTTGTAAATGGCTTAAAATACATGAAATTTTAATGACAAAATGTTGTTTTATCAGCATAATGAAACAGCATGCTGTCGTCACTAACTCTGGAGGTGATTATGAAATCAAGCCTGGCGCCAAGGGGGCCAAGATCAAAGTGAATGGAATGCCTCTGACGGGACCGCGCCCCCTGGCACACAAAGACAGGGTGTTGTTCGGTGGGTATAGGGCAGGAACTGGGCTCGAAAAAGACTTTTTGAATGAAAGCTGGTCTTAATTGTCAGACAAAATAATTTTAAAGTGGACTACTTTTACCTAAGATCAGTTATAGAAAGTTCACTTACATTGTCGTGCCTGTTTTTATAGAGTAATGAACAATGATTGTGTGTGTGTACTATAAAACTGTCAAGGAACCACAGAAAATGCATTCATTTTCTCTTCCACCTTGTCGTAATAAATCTTATCCAATAAATGTTCACTATAATCAGGGATGAATTGAGGCTGTCTTCCGGGTCTTCCAAAAGATGGTCACATTTTAAAGTTTACACTGACAGGTATCTAATTTTTTCTGTCTGAAGATGGTAAAAAATGGAGGACAGGTCAACAAAGATAATTTGGAAGACTGTCAGAAAATATCTCTGGCTCCGCCCCTGATAAATGATCACTGCTTTCTGTTCCAGGCTCCAATCACATGTACGTGTTCTACAATGCACAGAAACCCAACGCCCCTGAGGGCACACCCCCGGATTCAAAACTAGACTGGGAGTTTGCTCAGAAGGAGATTGCTCAGGCTAAAGGTTTTGCTACTGGATCTGGTGCAGGATTATCCAAAGGTTAATGAACACTCTTTTTTTTTTTTTTTTTCCTTAAGCTTGATTTTAGTTGTCAATGAATGTCAACATCTGCTAACATCAGGCTGATGAAGGCCTACGTCCAGGTTAGCCGTAAGCTAACGGTATGAAAGTTTTTCGGCTTGTGTTTGATAATTTTCATGTATGTTGATTTTAGTTGTTTAGGGCGATCCTAGCATAGTTCTAGTATAATACCATATTTTTTGCAAGCCCATTTGACATTGTTGTTACTATTCCATAATTTATAATATTAACCAGTTTTAAAGATGTACGTCCTCAGACATATAATATTTTTAAGCATTATACAAATAATGAGGGGTTTACAAGGACAAAATCGATAGTAAGCCCCGTTTGTTTGGGGTTTCCCAATGATTTCCTATTTTAATAATTGGCTATTAAATAAACTCTTATCTTAAGTTGTTGAAGAACCCAGTCCAGTTAAATAACTGCCCAAGTACATGTTTTATAGACGTGAATCTCATTTCCTCAAATAGAACAACAGATCGCCCAGGAGCAAGTGTTGGAGATTTTGCCGATGGTGACAGAAGTCAATGCTATCTCTGAGGAGCTGGATAAACACAGGTCCTTCGAGGTTGTTCTTATTTCCTCGGCAGCACAAGAGGGAGGTGTGGCTGGTAACAAGGGAACTTCGTGAGTATTTATGTTATTTTTGGTTTAGGGTTTCCCAATTCCCAGTTCAAGTTAAATCTCTTTGAAACTTTTTTATTACAAAGAAAGATATAGTGTGAGATATTGAATGAGATTTAGTAAAAGTAAATTGTAAGGAATTGAAATCAGGAGAAAAACGTACGTTTTTTGTTATAAGTATAGATTTATAAATTTACAGGGAAATTTTTTCGTTGTATGGAGGTTTGTAAAGGAAAATAAGTAAAAAATTCAAAACACTGTCCGTAATTTATGATCTTTTTCTGGACATTTCTAGTGTTATTGTTGATCACAGTTGTTAACAATTTTGTCACAGTTACAGTGTTTGAATTAACTGATTTTTCATAAATGTTCAACACTGCCCATTAAGGTCATATGCAAATTACATACAACACACGCTTGACTGTAGAATTTCAATATATTTATGTACCACTCTGTTTGTGGTCTTAAGTATCGTAAAGAGTAGATTTTAACACTTTTAGAAAGCATGCCATATGTAAACAATTATCATCTGTGTTGTGTAGATTATTTCCATGATTTGTGTTGTGAAAAAGTATCTGTCATTCATATTTGGTATTGTTTTTTTTTTTTTTTTTTTGGTTTTT